TTTGCTGGAAAGTCACAGGATCATGATACACAGTGACTGGCAGGTGCATGCACACTACAGATGTGTGGCCTTCAGGCTGTAAGTGTGCTTGGAAGCTGGGTGTTGCTGCTCTGGCTGTTCCTACCTTCAGTACTGTCAGTGCCAGAGTGGAATCATCCAGGATACCTTGGAAACTCCTCTCTGTGTGGCCCCAAATTCTTCCTGTTGATTACCTGACAACTTCAAGAACATGTCTGCCCATTACTACTATAAAATGTACACATCTAGGGTTCTTTTTGGTGTACAGTTCCCCATAAAGGTCTGCAGATAACTTCCATCTCTCACCTGGTTGGTTGCTTTTCACTGGTATAGTCTTCAGTTTATGGTTGTTATGGCCATGTTGATGGCGAGAAACAGTGGTAGAATGTGCATATACACATGACGTGTAGTAACCTATAGCTCTAAACCATTCAGACAAGGATCAGAGCTGTTAACAGTGTTCTCTGGCATGAGGAGCTGAGAGTGCCTCACCAGGGGCAGGTATCTGTGTTCAGATGAAGCACAGAGCGTCAGGGAGTCCTGAGAAGACACCAAGAGCAGGTGAGGAAACAGATACCCTAGTCGGTGAAAGGCAGGGTGTTTTGGGTAAGGCTCATACAGTCTTCAGAGCTGGCCCCCCATGGAGATGCTTCCTGTCATACCTTGGCTTGCAGATTCACTTCTGGTCCTGTACAAGATGCACCTCTGGAGTGGTCAGTCCTATAGCTTCTATCTGTGGAAAAGGGGGAGGGAGAAACAGCCAGCTGGCCATGGCCTTTGCCCCTGGAGACCTTAACTGGGACCTGGAACATCCCAAGTGAAGCACTTGCAGAACCCATCTTCCTGAGATTTGTCCTTTACCTACCTGGGACATGGCATTGTCTTTGTTTCTGAGCTGAACAGTAGTGTGGAATGGTGTCACACAGTGAGTGGAAGATTTGGAACCCAGTTGGAGTCTACACAATGGAAGTCCAGCTTCCTGGGAGTATTTTAGATCCTTGCATTGAGACAGCAGCAACAAGCAAACAGGGATCATGTGCCTGGACCCAACAGAGGAAAAAAGAGTCACACTCACAAGCTTCTCACAGGACCTTGGGAGAGCAGTGACCAGGAGACGTGTTGCTGGATTCTGGGGCACATAGGTCCTCAGACAGTTCATAGATGTGTCTCCACAGATCTTTATGTAGGACACATGACTGTAACACTTTAGAAGAAAACAGCATTTAAGAAACTTTTCTGGACTAGGCATGGTAGTGCACACCTTTAATCCCAGCACTAGGGTACTGGGGTGCAAGAGAAAAGTTCTCTGTGAACTCAAGACCAGCCTGGTCTACATAGTGAATTCCAGAACAGTCAGGACTATGTAGAGAGAACCTGTCTCAAAAAAAAAAAAAAAAAAAGTAAAATTACTTTTTAAAGCACATTTAAAAAAATGAAAAGACAAGCTACAGGATATATGAAAAATGTCTTTAAATCATATTTAATGGGAGACTTCAACTAGAACAAGATCTCTTAAAGCTCAACAGTAGGAAACAAACAACTCAGTCTAAAAGCAGGTAAGCTATTTTAACACTCACGTTCTCAAAGAGGATTTAAGAAAGATAGGTCATGTGTAGCTCCATTTCAAGTTCGGTGGTGTTTGGTTGGTTTTTCTCTTTAATCTCCACATTGAGTTTCATAGCTGCTGCACCAGCTTGCTCTCCCACCATCAGTAAGTATTCTTTCCCTGCATCCTCACCAATATTTGCTGTCATTCGATTTCCTGATGACAGCTATCTTGAATAGGGTGAGAGGGAGTCTCAAAGTATTTATTTACATTTTGAAGTGTTTATTAGCTGTCTTCTGTTCAGATTTATAGCCCATTTGGGGGGTTATAAGGAAGGAAGGCAATAATCATATCAACAGATTGTTAACTCTATTAACCAGTGGGAAGGGAAATTGAGTTGAGGTCCAGCAGGAAAACTATTGACACCACAGATGCCAAAAAGCGTAGAGGAAAGAGAATCTCATTCATGCTGGTGGGAAGGCAGGTGAGCATCCTTTATGAAAGACAGTGCAGTTTCTTGGGAAATTAAATGTGTGCTTTTCAGAGAGCCCATACCCTGCTCCCAGGAGAGCAAGGGGAGCCTATAGTAGGATTTTCCATGCTGAGTTAATCCCTAAAATTGATCTGTCTCTCCTCCACTTCGTCCCTCCTTCCTTGTTTCTCTCTCCCTACCTCGTTTCTTTTTCTCAGTCCTCAGCAGGGCAACACTAATTACCGTTGAAAGGCATGGTAAAATCCTTGGCTGAAATCCTTGGCACATTGTGTCAAAGTTCAAATTCCATTCCACTCATGTCAACCATAATTGGGACATACAAGGCTTTTGCTTTATTTTGTTTACCATTCCCTCAAGAGTAATTAAAAATATCTTTATACCTCCTAAGTTTCAGAAAACATATCATTTTCTTTTATTAAAATTGAGGTCAGTAATTTTATTATCAAAGATCTATGTTATAAGATGGGCATAAATTTGACTTTTAAAAATATACTAAATGGAGGAAGGAACATGAGCCTTCAACCTTAAACAAAGAACTACAAACAACTAAGGAATGCTTAGAGTTTGAGAAATTGTCTTCCCTAGGGAAGAGCACACCAGTTGGGTTGTCCAATATCCAAATGGTCAGCCCTGAAAACATACATAAAAATAACATTATACAGACTGACAGGTTGTAGTTAAGAATTTATATGTATTTATATATATTCATATATGCATGTGTCAATAATTAATGAAAAGGAGGCCATGAATTTCAAAGACAGCAGTAAGGAGGGGTATATGGGAGAGTTTGGAGGGAGGAAAAGGAAGAGAGAGATTGTGTAATTGTATGATAATCTTAAAAATAAAAGAAAAAATATACTGAGGACAAACACTTCTTTTAAAACATAATCATTTGAGATACACAGCCAAAATATCTTTGGGCAATCTTCATTTGGAATGAGCTGTTGGGTGGCGAGTGCTCAACTTGCCTGAGTATGAGGGTCTCAGTCTCAAGCTCAGTCTTTCTGACCTAGACAGGGGCAGTCTGTGTATTTGCAGAGGTTCCCTTGGTTACAGAGCCAAGACTGCTAACCATAGGCCAGCTTTGTTGAGATATTTGCAGTCGTGATTGCTTTCAAACACAGCCTCCTTTAGTCTTTGCTTTGGCATTTCCAGGAATCTCGTGGGGGTTCACTGTCTGCTCCCTTGTGTGGGTCTTGTTCAGCCAATGCAGCTATTGGGGTGAGTCACCGCTGTTCCTCATTGTTCTCCATTCTCACAGCATAACATGTGATTTTTATTGACTCCAGGCAGTTTTTAAGCCAGAGCTCAAAACAGCACCAGTCTTCTTGGCTTTCATTGTCCTCAACCATGAGGTGGAGATGCTGTGAAAGATGGAAGCCCTTGCCTCTCACAGGAGAGGGAGAGCTCGATTGAAAATATGAAATGTGAAAGTCCTGTGATTATCAAAATACTCTGCACTTAGTCATCCTTTAAACTGTAGTTCCGAGAACAAGCTGGAGAAAAACACATTAGATATTTAAATGATTAGATATTTCCCTAGAATTCCCCCAGAAAACAGCACAGTTTAATGTGATAAGAGAAAAGAACACAACCAAGAAGTCAGCAAAAATATCCACCAGGGATGAAGACAAAGTAAAAGGAAAGCATAGTGACTCTGTCACCAGCAGAGTGGGGACAACTACTATGTTGGCGATAGTTCTTGAGGACACAGAGAAAAGGCTGGTGAAGACTCTGACCTTCAGCGTTGTAGACAGCAAAGTAGAACTGATAAATACTTGGGAAAGCATCAAACACTGCCTTTCTCCTCCTGGGGACCTATATTTGTGTTGAGTGTGGGAAGCAAATCCATACCCACAGTGTCCAGTAGGAAGGCTCCTTTGTATGTACAGAATAGAGCCCTATTGTTTCAAAGCAGACCAGGAAACGTTGCATATTCTAAGCACTGGAGTAGCTGTTGAAAAATAACCCCACTAGGTATAGAAAATGCCAGCACATGACTTGAAATGAAATGCTAATAATAATTTTAAAAGCTAAGAGACAGTGGGAAGAGAGGAACAAAAAGTTAATAAAATGGCTTTTTAAAACCCAACTAAGTTGGTGATGATATTGTATGGTTTAGATTCACCACCAATTAAAATAATATTGGGTGAATAGACAAGGAAGAACCTTCAACTACATGCCATTTCACAGACCCACATTTTAAAGGTCCACATGGGTAGAACATTAATGGGTGAATCAAGATATGATAAACCCTGAATATAGATAGCTGGAGTGTCTGTTTTAGTGCCAGGTAAAATAGATTTAGCAGCAATAATATTGCCAGGGCCAAAAGAGAGACATCCCATAATAATGAGAAGTTTATCAGGAAACCATCATAGTTAACAGTGTGCATTTTTCACCATGCAGCACAGAAGTGGAGAGAGTTAAATATAAAAGCAGACCCTTTCACAAAGCAGGGGATTTTAACACTCCTCACCTGTGGTCATTAATAGAATAGTTAAAAAAAAAAAAAGGAAAGAAAGAAAATAGAGGCTGCCAAACATAGCAATTTCCTTGGTCTAATTGTTTCTTATGGCTCACCACACCCAACAGTTCCTCAGTCTGCATTGCCTTCAAGGGCACTCGGGCATTTGGTAAGGGTTAGTGTGTCTTTCAGAGGAGGAGAAAGAACAGACAAGTGTGAGGGTGGGAGCTGAGCAGGTGCATTTGTAATTCCTCGTGAGGGCTGGGGGAGAATGTGATGAGCTCTCTGCGCCTAGAAAGAGACTCAGCTGAGATTGAGCTGGGCCATTAAGCAGAGAGAGTTGCTTTGCTCTTCTCTGAGAGTGGTCAGATGGGAGGGAGGGAGGGAGGGAGGGAGAGGGAGAGAGAGAGAGAGAGAGAGAGAGAGAGAGAGAGAGAGAGAGAGAGCGTGTGCGTGTGCGTGTGCGTGTGCATGTGCGCGCGTGCTGTTTCCTCTCCTTGTGAAGGATATAAAACTCCGACCTGGCATCCCACAGCTGAAGAGTACCATGAAACGAAACAGCATCTCCAAGGGAAAAGGCAGGTAAGGGAAATGGTTGCTGTTCCCACCCTCTAGGAAGATGTGTGAGTGCACAGACTCTTGAGTGTTACCTTCCAGGGTTATGATACACCCTTGTGCTGGGGAATAATCCTTCTGTACATTGTGAAAATGTGTTGCTCTCATTATTAATAAAAAGGCTGATTGGCCGGTAGCTGGGCAGGGTGTTCGTGGCAGAGAGAATGCTGGGAAGAAGAAGGGCGGAGTCTAAAGAGCCATGAGCCTCATGCCAAAGAAGCAACTTGGGGAGTTCATAGATGAGGTAAACAAGCCTTGGGGCAGCACATAGACTAATAGAAATGGGTTAATTTAAGTTGTAAGAGCTGGCTGGAGACAAGCCCAAACTATTGGCTGAGTATTTATAATTAATAACAAGTCTCTGTGTGATTATTTGAGAGTGACTGCCAGGACACAGAAAAACTCAGCCTACACCCTTGGGATGAAAGCTACCTTACTCCTCCTGGAGATGGCTTCAAATCAGTCCCTGATCGTTGGGCTTCTAACAGACTAGGGTGAGCATTTGAAATCAGAGCTTCTTAAGTCTTATTGTGCTTAGAAATCATCTGTGGATCCTAAAAATCACACTTTATTCGGGTAACTGATTGTATACTGAGAAGAGTGGAGATAGGTGAGTGGTAAGAGTTAAAATCCACTGGGATCCAAGTACCTGCTAGAAACCCTGCTCAGTGCTTCCTACCTATTGTCTCTGCATTTATCTACAATTGAAACAGCTTCCCAACAAGGAATCTGCTGCCTTAGAGATCTTAGAGCCTATACCCAGGTCCATTTGGCTTAGAGCCTATACCCAGGTCCATTTGGCTTAGAGCCTGTACCCAGGTCCATTTGGCTTGGTGAGGACATAGATCTCTGCTCAGCTTCCATGTTAGGTATGGAGTAGCCTTGTAGGCTACAATCCCAACTAGCACTTCCCTGGACCACTCATTCCTTGTCTGCCAAGCCAGCTGGATTCTAGTCATAATGTACGGCTAATAGCTTTGATGCTGAGCTGGGCTTCTGCTCAAGAGGGTCCCCTGTACATTTCAAGGACTCTGACTAGTGACATCATGGTAGCATGGATTTCTTGTGGCTGAAATAATTGAACTTGACACTGGTACATGGTAAACCCAGAGCTTTTCCCTGAGAGCTGGTTGTTGAACAGTTATGAACATTGCCTCACTATGTGCAGTCCTAGGGGGACTTTGGGTTGTCCAATTGGTCCCTTACTCCAAAATTATGCAAAATCTATGGTAGGTAAATGATACATGTGTTTTCCTTGAACTTTCATGTTCTGGTAGCTCAGTCACCAGTGTCTACCAAGAGTTGGTAGGACTTTTGAGAGGTGGGTCTGTGTGGATGGTGAAAAGAGAATGGTCCAGCATCTTCATTAATGGAATCAAATTTTTCATGGTTTGTTTTTTGAGACAATGTTTCATGCTTGAAGTCTAGGGTGGCTTGGAACTATTATGTAGCCCAGACTGGCCTTGAACCTAAGTGCTCACTTGAGTTAAGCTTCCCTCTGAAGAGTGAATGGGTGGATGGATGAATAAATGAATGGGAGCATATTCGGTGCAGTGCCAGGAGGTACAAGAGCCACAGAGGCTGCCACCTCTACCCATGTTTGGCCTAGTTCTACACATTGGATTGGGTTGATTACTTAGTGGACTCCAGGCACATGTAGCCAGGCACGTGAAAGTTTCCCAATGTGTACCAGGTGTAAGAAGTCTTTGCCCCAAATCTAGGGCACCTGGCTTCTCTGCAGCCTGGACAATAGCCCAGGTCACAACCTCTACAGAGAACCCTGGTTCCTCCAGCGCAGCAGCTAAGGAGAACAGCTTCACTAAAACATAGTTATAGTCTACTAGAGTTTGGTGTGAGAAGTTCACTCTCTTCCTTAAGATCTGGTTCTAATTTTGAAAACAATCTTTTGTTTACATTCTTTGTATCAACAACAGTATTACCCTCAGGAAGAACCTTGAGATGGAAGTGAGCTCATTGTGAGGAAACTTGGAAAGTCAAACCCACCAGAGACTCTGGGGCTGGCAAGAAGAGGAGGGCACTTGAGGCTGCACAGCCACGTGGTTCCCAGTGGCAGGAAAGCCGTGTTGTGGATGCCCACACTTGCCGCCTAGCTGTTCTGTGACACTTGGGTGCCGCTCAGCATCTCTGAACCTTGGTGTATCTTTAAAATAATGAAAATTAGCCCTAGGCTGAGGATCATTTTTCAGGACTTCATGAAAAGACACTTAGCACAGTGCCTGTAAATCATTACCTCATCACTATTATTTTATCATGTACATACTTTTCCATTTCTCTGTCTTATTCATTGGCGTAGCAGGTGACTGACTATCTAATAACCTCGTATTTTGTGCACGTGTGTGTATGTGTTCGTGTGTACAAGATGCACATGTCAGAGACATGTCAGGCATGTGTGTTGGCATATGGAGTATTATTCCCTTAGGCATACCACCACCTTGTTTTTTTTTTTTTTTTTTTTTGTTTTTTTTTTTTTGTTTTTTTTTTTTTTTTTGAGACAGGATAGCTCAATTTTGACCTGAAACTTGCCAAATAGGGTAAGCTGATAACCCAGCAAGTCCCAGAATTCTCCTGCCTCTATCCATACTTCAGTGCTTGAATTACAAACTTATGCCGCCAAGCTCAACTTTTTCTGTGTGGAATCTGGGGATATGACTCAGGTCCTCACACTTGCCTAGCAAATGCTTTACCAAATAAGCCACAAGATTGTGGTTTTGTTGTTGTTGGTAGTTGGCTTGTTTTTTTGATTTCATAGCTCTCTCAAGAACTGTGTGAGTATTAAGAGCAGCTTAGGAGGAGACAATTGTCAGAAGAAGGTAGAAGCCAAGTGAGAAGCACAGGGAAACTCTGGTGTGCCAGCCAGCTTTCTGTCACTACAGCAAATGCCTGAGGTACTCAGCTTACAAAGACACACGGTTTATTTTGGCTCACAGTTTTTGAGGTTCTGGTTTGTTTGGCTGCTCTGCGGCTTTGGGCCTGTAGTAATGTAGCACACAATGGTGGGAATGTGTGACAGCAAAGCCTCCCACCTCAAGATCCGAGGACAGGTCAGGGAGACCCAGCCCTCCCCGTGCACCTGGCTGGAGGTCAGGCATTATTAGAAATCACTGAAAACAGTAAGTTGTAGTGCAAATCCTAATTGGTCTTAATAAGAAAAACCTGGAGCCAGATATCGGGGTAAATGCTGAAAGATCAGAGAGACAAAGGAGCAAGCCACAGCCACCTCTTACCTTGCCAACTCCTCAGCCTGAAAAAGGCTGAGCTCTTGTCTCCTCCCACCTTATATTCCTCTCTTCACCCAGTCATATCACTTCCTGTCTCCACTTCCCTAGCACTGGGATTAAAGGTATGCACCACCACTGCCTGGCTTCTATGGTTAACTAGTGGCGAGCTCCATACTCTGGTCTCCAGGGAAGCTTTATTTGCTAGAACACAAACAAAATATCACCACAAGAAGTCCTGATAGACACCCCTCAGTATTTTTCCTCTTATATGACAGAGTGGTTTGGCTCCTTGATTAGCAAATGTCAGACTCCCTGTGTGCCCTTCCCCCAGGGCGGTTTGCAGAGGGTGAAACTCAACTCTCAGATTCGAATGCTGGTCAGGAGCAATTGCTATCCTTCTAAAGTTCCCAAGTCAGCAAGGCTGTGAATGGAATTAGAGAACCACTCGGGTTGGAGGTAGCAAAAGTAGCTTCAGCCCCACCATTTCCAGATGCCTGGGCAGCTGTCAACCATATGGCCACTCTTTAGTAGTTCTTCAGACTGTCAGTTGGCTACTTTCAACATTCCTAGCTTTCAGGGGAGTAACTGATCCAGCTACGTACACCTGGAGGAGACTTCAGGCCAGCCACAGACACCTCCAAGGAAGTTCATTGGCATTAGGGGAAGGAATGCAGCTATCATGGCCACTGTTCCTGCATGGCTTTGTCTTGAGAAGCTTCATTCTTGCTATGACAGACCAAAAGACCCTTAGATGCCCCCACTTAGAGTCACTTCACAAAACTCCATGCACAGTTGCTCTGGACTTCATCATAGCATTCTTCAGTCTGCTTTGGGAGAAACCCCTCTCTCATGACAATGTGTACACACTATGAACTGTATAAATTGCTCCACTTACTCTCTGAGCAACAGTCTGAGACCTCCCTCCCTTCCACTGTTCCTATGCTTAGGCCTAGGTTCCAATGAGTAGTTATACTGCTTGCCTGTGGTCTTTCATTATAATCAGAGTGGGTTGTGATGGTAACATAAACAGGAAGCTTCTGAGAGTGACATACTCAAGCCCATGACTCACTTGTCCATCTCTGCCTGGCATACCTCCATCTCATCATCTACCTCAACTACTAACGGAGTGACTATGTGATTAACAGCTCCCCAGGCCTCTGAAAATGGTGGGGCTGACGCTGCTTTTGCTACCTCCAACCCTACAATTTCCTTCACAGCCCACTGGGGAACTTTGGAAGGACAGCAATTGCTCCTGACCAGACTTCACATCACAGGAAACTTGAGTTTCGTTCCATGGAAGCTGCTACAGAAAAATGGGTACACAGGGAGTCTGACAGCTGCTAATCAACCAGCCAAACTGTTCTGTCATATAAGAGGAAAAATACTGAGGGGTGCTTATTACAAAGATGTAGCAAGACCTTGGTCTTCATGCAGAACCCAATTCCAAGATCAAGTACTTCAGGATGCCCCTTGCTCTGCAGTCTGGTAGAGACATGTTCTGTGAGGTCAACACAGACCCATCTACAGAGGGTTTGGAAGAGATGTGTTTATGTACCATGGAGGATGCTCATTTGTGAAACTTTGGCTAGATACATAAACACCCACATAAGTAATTATTTTACCCATATGTTTATATAGCGTCTTGGTTTGTTTTGTGCAGCTATAACAGAGGGACTTAGATTGGGTAAATTGACAAAGATCTATTTTTATTCATAGAGATTTGTTTCT